GGTGATGAGCCCTGAAGGTCTTTTCTGCACACTTCTTCTGCAGGCTGTGGTACTTCCATCTTACCAGTGCCTGCTGTGAGGATCTTGCTGCTGTGCTTAGAACCAGCCAGCACCTGACAGAGCTGGATTTGTCCTTTAATGATGAACTGAAAGATGCTGGTGTGCAGCTGCTATGTGAAGGGCTCCAGCATCCCACCTGCCAGCTGCAGACGCTGCGGTAAGGGCCACAGGGCTGGGCAGTGCCCCATGAGACCAGCTGACCTATTCCAGTGAAGACTGGATTTCCCCCGACCCCCGCAAAAAAAGGAATTGAAACGCTGAGGGTTCTTGGTGTTTTCCCCTTTGGATCCTCTAAAGAGAAAAATGCAACTCAGTCTCCACAAGTCCACAAGTTTGTTTCCCACCCAGTGGATGGCAGCACCCCAGGTAGCCACAGCCTTGCATGACTAAAACAGCCAGCTCTGGCAGGCCAGCCCAGTCACACCCTGGGGAGAAAGAGGAGACTCTGTAAAGTCGTGGCCCCTCCAGGAGCCCTCTGCCCTCTCTGCTCCGAGGCCAGATATGTGAGGTAAAGGGCAGGGAAGGCAGCACTTGTGGCTGCTCTGGACAGGTGGGTGACCCTGACCATGCTGTTTCTCTCACTGCACAGCTGTTTCCACATTTCTAAACATAGCATCCTGATCCCTCGCTCCCACCTTGATAATATGCCAGTAAAACCCTGTTGTTTGTTTTGCTTTGGTCACACAGGTTGGGGAGCTGTCGTCTCACCGCTGCGTGCTGTGGGGACCTGGCTGCTCTGCTCCTAGTCAACCAGAGCCTGACTTGCCTGGATCTGAGTGATAATGAGCTGGGAGGTGTGGGGGTGCAGCAGCTTTGCCAGCTCCTGAAACATCCTGCCTGCCAACTGCAGACACTGGGGTAAGGGATATGGAGCTCCTCTATTCATTCCCCGCTCCAAGGAAAAGCTGTGTTATTGCCCTTACTTTGACTTTCCCAGCTGTGCTGGACCAGAGGTACCTCTACCTGGAGCCAGCACTTGCACTTGCTCCTCTGGGCTTCATGGTCTGGGAGATTTTTGCCAGGCACAGGCCACATGGACCCATGAGCCACCTGGGTCCTGCATGGCCAATACCTTTTGCTCAGACGGCAAGGAAGCCCTGGGCTTTCCTCGAGGACTCGAGTATGGAGTTGCACTCTCTAGACTTGTGCACCCCAGAGCTAAAGAGAAACCTGAAATGAGAGCTCGAGGCCCCTGTAGGTCATTCCCCAACAAGAGCCAGGACAGAGTGTGGCTTGGGTCAGAGTTGTTCAGGTGGGCCCTGTGGGACTCCTTCCATGCGCTAGCCCTGGCTCCCATCCCCCAACTTTGAGCTTGAAAGGACTGAAACACAGATGTGGTTCACCTGACCAGACACTGAGATATGACAACCAAAGTGTCCCTCTCTCACCTGTACTGCCCTGGGTGCACCAGGGCTGGCTTCAGGCCAGCATGGAAAATCCTATGAGTTGCAGGGCTCTGAGCCCCTTCTGCTCCCCGTCACCCTTCCCCTGGCAGCCCCAGGACAGTGAAAGCCATGGGCAGGGAGTGGGGATGGCAACAGGTGTGGCCGTGCAGGCACCCCAGGGTCGGATGCCGTGGGGCAGGGACAGTGTATCATCATCTAGGTGTACAGTGCCCTGTGGTGTCAGGCAGCAGTCAGTATCTAGGGTAGTTTTACAAGTTCTTCTCCTTTTTCTTGCTCTATTTAAAGATTGAACACATCTGGATTAAATGAAGAAACACAGCAAGAGCTAGCTGCACTCAAAGGAATAAAGCCTAACTTGAAGATAGGGTATTTTTTTGAGCACGACACCCTGCAGCCAAGGCCTATGGCCCCATTGCCTTCTCACCAGGGAGTCCTGTTGGGTAGAGGTGGAGGGAGAGTCAGGAAGACTTTTCCCTCTTTTATGGGAGGTCCTTTTTACAACAGGAACAATTTCTAACATGAATGGTAGGGATTTGATCAGTGCTCCTGAAGAGGATGGGAGATGTCCCTGGGATTTGATTCTCGTCATGCATGACTGGGATCTGGAAGGTGGTCCTGTGCAGATCTGCTGGGGGGTTGGGGCAGAGTGACTCTGCATAGGGGATGAGGCTGTGGGTGAAGATGTGGGTGAGTCTGGCAACTTTCTCCTTTCATTCTGCTGAGGAGTGCAGGGGTGAGTGGGAAAAAGGGCTTTGGATCCAGCCCGTGAGGTTTATATACTTATGCATTTCATTCATTCACTGGGATTTTTATATTTCTGAAGGCTTCTGTAGTTGTTCCTGATTCCACAGTTAGCAGGAGGGTCCTTTTTCTCTCCCTTTTGACCGCGCAGTTACATGTGAGAGTATTTGTGTTAGTCTGCAGAGGCCCAATAAATGCCCCTGGTCCTGCCTCAGAAATCCTGCAGTGCTATGGTGTTTCCGTTCCTTCCTGCCATCACCCCAGGATGCCCTGAAGCCCTCTCCATGCTCAAAGCCTCCAGGGAGGTTTTCCATGAGTCCAGCTCCTACTCCTTAACGGCTCTGATTGAGCTGCAGAGGGATGGGACTCTCCGGCTGTGGAGCTTTGCTTGCTCAGGAAGGGGATGAAGGGCTGCTGGAGCTGGGGAGCGCAGGGCAGCATGAGTGGAGGACACGGCCACAGCTCCTGGGAGAAGAGCTGGTGGGAGCCACTGATGGAGGGAGTGTAGGAGTGGGATACAGCTAACAGAGAGCAAGCAGCAGACGCAGGAGCAGCTCATAAAAACCACTCATGCCAGCAGGTCACATCACCTTCAGGGGGCCGTGCTCCTGCAAAACCCCATGGGTTCCTTGGGGGGTTTGACCCATCCCTGCGGAAGGAAATAGCCTTGAGAAGGGGTTTTTCTCTGTTGCTGCCTGTCTGGGCCCATGTTCACCTGGAAGGCTGTATGCACTGCAACACCTGGAGGGGCCCAGCTGTACCATAGTTCTGTCTAACAGTACGTGCTCCACCTCTGTCCCCAGTCATCCTGTGAGAGATGGTCAAGGTACCCCGTGACAGAAGTACCGACCCTGGAGCTGATTCCCCCCAAAATTGTGAGGTTTTAATAGAAAAGAGAGAAATTCACAGTGAAAGAATATAAAAACTCAGGCAATGCCCAGGCACCTCTGTGGAAAGGACAATGGAGCCAGGTCTCCACTGTGCTCATAGTCCTCAGCAGAACCCAAGTGGATTGTAAATCAGCCATGCAATGCCCTTTGTGGCTGGGACCATCACTTTGGCATGGGAGCCCTGCTTTGTGCATGGAGACCCCCAGGGCGGCACTGAGGTGAGCATGGCCCTTGGCTCCCCAGGGCGTTTGCAGGAGGGCTGGGTGGATGGAGGTGCTGCCAGTGCTGCCTGCAGGTGTGCACCCTGCAGCCCACAAGACTCTGCAGCAGCTGTGCTCTTCCCCAGCAGCACTGAGGCAGGAAGGAGGTGGTTTCCCTGCTGTGCGCCAGCCCCAGTAGGGAAGCAGCAGTGGCAGCCCAAGTGCCGGTGTGGGACAGCGTGTGGTGAGGCTGCTGCGCTCCTGCCCCAGCACAAGTGTCTGCTGGGGCTGCTAAAGAGCCTGCATCTCACCAGCTGCATTTCAGACAATGATTTCTCAAGTCAGCCCAGTCTTGATCCTCATGCACTACTGAACCCTCCTCTCCTGCCTCAGCCCTTTCCCAAAGTGCAGCGGCACAGGAGCAGCCGTGTTGGCAAAGCTCATCCTCGCTTCCTCCTCCTCTACAGGCCCTTTTCCACTGGAGCTCAGTCCACCTTAGCCAGGCTGCCCTCTTGAGATGTCACCTTGTCTCCTGAGTCTCGGGACAAACCGTTCCTGTGCTCACAAGAAGCTGGCCTTCATTCTCTGCTGGCTGCCCTGCCCTCCAGCAGGCAGATGCTGGGGACCTTAGATGGGATGATCACAAAGCCATAACCCTTCCAGTGACACCGCCCACGCAGAGCAGTGTTAACCCAGGGGCTATCCCCAGTCCTTCTTCAGCAGTCCCCTTCACCTGCAAGGTCAAGGACACTGCCACCACTCTCCCATGCCCCTCAACTTTGTCCCCAGAGCTCCTGGATTTCTCCCGATTTCCTCCAGGTCATCCTTGGCAGGGTCAACAAAGTCATAACATTATCTCTGTGAGAAATGCAGCTGGCTGAGCAGAAGCAGCCGGGCCGGGCACTGAGGGAGACAGAGAGCAGGGCGAGGTGCAGGGCGGCCGGGCTCGGGGCGGAGAGCGCCGAGCCCCGGCCCCAGCGCCCGCCCCTGCCCCGCCCCGCGCGCTGGTGTGCAGGGGGGTGGTAGCCACCTTCCTCTCGGTTCAGAGCCGTATGGGGCGAGCACAGCTGCCGCGGGGAGCCGTGGGCTCCAGGCTGCACACCTACAGGCAGCAAAGGCAGCGCCTTCATCTACCCACAGGCCACTGCAAGAGACCAAGGCCCTCCTGCCAATGCCCTGGGGAGCCCGGGGCCAGGCTCGCTTCAGTGTTGCCAAGCGCTTTCTAGCCCAGAGGCAGCGCCAGCCAGCCTCCACGTGAAGGGCCACAGATGAGGGGCCCCAGCAGAGCCAGAGAGGCCTGGGGGCTGCTTATGTCTCCTGGCACTGCCCAACCATGGGGCAGCCCAGCTGCACAGGCTGGAACAGGCACAGCAACGCAGGCCAGAAGGCCAGTGCAGAGCTAGGGCAGGACCCGGCACAACATGGGCACCACGCAGGGGCACCACAGCCACTCCGACGACAGGGCAAAACCCATATGGGGCTGGGCGGGCTGGGCCACAGGGTTATCATGGGGAGAGCTGGTGACCTCCAGCATCCCACGTGCTGCACCCACGGCCTCGGGTTATCACTGCCCTTCATTTCCAGGCCCCCGCAGAGCTGCAGATACACTCTCAGAGGCAGAGGCCGTCTATGAGGAGCTCGACTACACCCTGACACCCGAGTACCAGCAGGTCCCCAGTGGCTCAGGTGTGTGCACCCTGGGCCTGACAGCCAGTGGCGCGTTGAGGCCCCCACGCAACCAGCTCAGCAGCCCGGCAGGGGGCCCGCCCCCGTGGCCGC